ACTACTTGCCCAAATAGCTATAATTAAAATAGAGGCCCAAATCCACAAAGCTGAGCCGGAATACCAAGGTAATGTCATAGCTGATTTTCATGCAAAAAGAGCCACCCAAGAAATTTCCCATGTTCTAGAAAAACAGTGTCTACCATTGAATGATGTCCCTTTTAAATTTTTAAATTTAAGGCAATTGGCTGAAAAACAAAAGAAAGAGCCAGAATTAGAGAGAAAACTGGAAAAAATAAGGATGTCTATAATTAAAAAAGGAACTCTGGGAGAGTCCTGACGACCACCTGGTTCTCCGAGAGTTCTTAAAATTTCCTTTGATAAAGGCTCTACATTCCACCTCTCATCATGGGGTTGATAAAATGCTTCAAATTGTATCCAGATAGTAGTGGGGGAATTGTACCAGTATAGTCATCCCTTGGTATCTGCAGGGGATTGGTTCCAGGCCACCCAACCCCCATGGATACCAAGTCCCTTATGTAAAACAGTGTAGTACTTGCATATAACCTACACACATTGTCCCATATACTTTAAATCATCTCTAGATTACTTATAATACCTAATACAATGTAAATGCTATGTGAATAGTTCAATTTCAAGTTTTGCTTTTTGGAACTTATTTTTTTCAGTATTTCTGATCCGTGGTTGGTTGAATATGCGGATTCGGAACCCGTGGATATGGAGGGCTGACTGTACTGCTAAACAAGTCTATGATCAGTGTCCAATTTACCAAACCCATCATCCTGGAAAAACATTTAAAACCGTCTCAGGAAAGGCTCCTTTTCTTTGGATCTTTTTAACATTTACAGATGGACTTCATCCAATTACCTCCCTCATGGAATAAAACAAACAAACAAAATTCATTGCTGTCCGGTCAATTCTGACTCACAGCGCCCCTATAGGACAGAGTAGAACTGCCCCATAGGGTTTCCAAGGAGTGGCTGGTGGATTCGAACTGAGGACCTTTTGGTTAGCAGCTGAGCTCTTAACTACTACTCCACCAGGGCTCCCCTCATGGAACAGAACTATATTTTTGTAATAGTTTGTTTATTTTCTGGATGGCTAGAAGCTTTTCTTTATTGAAAAGCTGATGCCACCACTGTGGCAAAGAAACTTCTGGAACACCTCTCTTTGGGGGAATATTTTCAGAGATTTCCAGTGACTGTGAAACACACTTTACTAGAAAAAAAAATCATCCAATAACTAAAGTTTTCCCCATCTTATGGCATTTACACTGTCCCTATCACTCCCAATCTTCTGAAAAGTAGAATGAACTAACTAATAGAATATTCAAGCTAGCCAGATTGTCTTAATTTGCTGGACTGCTTTGGCCCAAAGTACTCCATTTGGCCCTTATGACTACTAGATCTGCACCATTTGGAAAACATCACCTGACTCCTTATAAGATAGTTACTGGATGGTCTATGCCTTTGCATATTATGACAGACTCTGCTCCAGTATTGGGACACAATGATATAATTCAATATTGTCAAGCTTTAATGCAATATTCCCAACAGATATGAGAAGCCTCTGAAGAAACAGCATCCTCTCCTGAGGAAAACCAGACGTGTCACAATCTTAAACCTGGTGACTGGGTTTTCTAGAAACATTTTCAATGCAAGGCTGCTTTAGAACTATGCGGAAAGGGCCTTATTTGGTTCTCCTTACTATACACATGGCAGCCAGACTCCAAGGAGTCAATCCATGGGTACACATTTCTTAGCTAAAAAGAGCCCCATCACTTTCATGGACCTGACAACCTCTCTCTGATCTTAGGATAAAGATCTACCAGATAAAATCAATCCCCAGAAGCAGACGACCCTGAGGTAGACAGCTTAACCCAAGACCCTTGGAACAAGAGAAGACTGCATGATGTGGACTGCTTCCACCCAAGATCACACATCAAAATCATATATAAATGCTTTTCTGTTTTCTTTAATCTTACTCCCTTTTGTAACCATCTATCGAGAACGTAACTCCTTTGTACTCCTTGCTCATCAAATAGCTAGTCCCACTCATCAAGCTAATTGCTGGGTTTGTGCCCACCCTCTCAAACCCCTCAAACTGATATACCGTTAATCACGATTCCCTTAGCACTTCTGGATTTCGCTATGACAAATCACATTACATATACTCAGGCAGACAGATCTCCTTTCTGGAGTGACACTAGCCTCTACCTCAAACGTCTCAGAGATTGGGATTATTCTGATGTGGCAATGTTAACTCGCAGAACTTGGTGTTTCACTCGAAACCAATCAGATGGGCATCCCGTATGCAAGAGCGTTTGTTCAGTCTCTATTTGGCAGAACTCTTTATTTTCATGAAACCCATACCCAATGTAATGGTCAAACTCCCTGCTGGGATTCAATATATCCTTCTCAAGAGACCCATTCCTCTAACCAGAACCTGTTCCAATGGGTTGAAAAATCTGGCAAAGGAAATTGTTGGCTGAATGGCACCAAGATTTTGCACTCAGATAACGACCAAGATGGGTATGATCCCCCTTTCGGTGTTTATTCTCAGCTAGCTTTACAAGCTATTGTGCCTGCTGTCAGAGGTAACAGGTTGCCTTATTATGCCCTAAGAGGACATTATCTTGTCTGTGGTCGACGGGTTTACAAAGCTTCACCTGCGAATTGGACTGATTATTGCTTATGCTGTTCCCTATGTACCCATACACAATCATTTACTCAAAGGGAAAATTGGAAGTCTGATAGAGATCAGCAATGTAGAAATAAGAGAACAAACTATTGCCCATTTAGATGCAGCTCTAAATGAAAGCTGGAAAGAAACTCTAAATGAAAGCAAACTTATAAGATGCTCAGCTATAGGAAAAACAACTCCCTCTGCCTCAGGAGCTGAAATTTCTTGCATTGGAAGATACACTTTAAGATTACAAACGGTTTTAGATAAAGTAACATCAGAATTAGATGACTAAGTGTCATCAATTGGAAAAGCCACCCTTTCACTATCCAAAGAATTATCAGAAATTTTCAAAATTACTTTACAGAATAGACTAGCTTTCAATTATATGTTAGCTTCACAGAGAGGTATCTGCACTTTGACTGGGTCACAATGCTGTCTATACATAAATGATATCCAGCAAGAAACTGCTGAATCAGTCAAAGTAAAATCCAAAACTTCACAGGACTTGTTCCCCTGGCTAAATCTTGGTTCTTGGGGTCCTTGGGTCTTAGGAAACTTTCAAACCTTGGGTATTGCCCTTTTAGTCACAATCTTCATAAGTGCCCTCCTCAAATACTTAATCTCAAAGATCTTAAGTGTGTATGAGCAGCTGCTAAAACAACCAATGATATCCACCGTCATCAGTCAACACATGCAAATGGAACTACAGACCAGACTTTGGATTACTCAGTGAGGATCTTTACTAAGTGGTGGTTGAGATTTTTTGGTTAAGCTCTCAGTATCACTGGGCATATGACCAAAAGGGAGAAGAAAACTGTTAAAGAGAGAAACTGAGGACCCAGTTGATAGACTCCTCTCATTCACAAAGGTCACCGAATGCTGTGGTGTTGTGGAGTATATCTAAGAACAAATGAACAGAAATATAGGACACACGGTGACCATATCATTTATGTCACGCAAATCTCTCCCTGTGACATCTGCTCACCATAACCTTACTTAAAGTTTATCTTGTGCACGGAATCCAACATAAATATCATGCTGAAGGTTAGCCAATGCTTAATTTTCCACTCTGTATTTTTCTTTTCTCCTCAAAAACTCACTGTAATTAGCCTACGACAAGCCTTCCTGTTTTTCTGGACAGAAAGGTCTCCCTGTATCCATACAAACTAAATGCTCAAATAAACCCTATATGCCTTAATTCCTTTTGAGCTTTGATTATTTTGCAATATCCAATTCTTCACATACTATGGATTCTATCCCTAAAATAGATCTTGAATCCGTCTACTTCTTCCAAACTCCCCTGCTACCACCATAATACCAAACACCATCATCTTTTGTCCGTAGACGGCAAAAGGCAAAACTGGTGTTGCTCCCAATCCTGCATTCCTCCCTTGGTTTGCCACACAGCAGCGAGATGGTCTTAAAGCAGAAATCAGATCTTGCCAGTCCCCGTTTTAAACATTTTTTAATGGATTCGCATTGTGCTTCTAATGAAGTCCAAATTCCTTACTAACCCACCTCACTTACATCTTGCAAATCTTCCAGCCTTGTTTCACGCCTCTCTAGCTCATCAAGCACCAGCATGTCGGTAGCATGAATGTGCCAGATTCTACCCTGTCTGGGGGCCTGCAACCTGCCTGCTCTCCTCACCACCATACACCCACCTTCTTGCTTGGCAGGCTCTTTGTCCTTCCAGTCTGCAGGGTCACCTCTCGAGAGGTTTCACCCTACAATAGATGCCACTTTTCCTTATTATCAGCCTCTAGTTTCCAACGGAGTGAGTAAGATGGTCTGTAATTCTAACTCTGCGTGTGCTGTTTTTTGTGTTTGCTTGTCTCTCCCACTGGAACTGGTGCACGAGAAGGTACCACTGTGGTCGGGAAGAGGCCGGCGTTTTGGGACCCCTGCCCAGGACAAGTGGCGTCTCAGCCAGGAGCTGAGGCGACATTTAAGCCACGGGGGGAAAGAGATCTCCAGGAACTGTGTACGACAAACAAAGCCTTGTGGCCATAGAGAGCTTATAGCTATTCAGGTACAGAGAAAAATCCATATGCCTGAGGTTAGCTAGGCAATCAGTGTCATGGAAACCCTGGCGCGGTGGATGGCTGCTAACCAAAAGATCGACAGTTCGAATCCACCAGGCGCTCCTTAGAAACTCTGTGGGGGCAGCTGTACTCTGTCCTACAGGGTCGCTCTATGAGCAATGGATTTTCTGGGTTAGGGGCAGGTCACACAGGGACAGAAGGGGCCGGGGAGGGTTTGGGGCTTCGCCCTAAGGGAGGAGAGCGGAAGGTAACCAGAGGGGAAAGGACGGGACCTGCTCGCTCCCACGGCCACGCCCCGCCCTCACATACGCGATCAAAGTCTGGGGCGGAAAGGTGGCAATGACAGTCCACGAGCCCCGCGCCCACGGTCCCCATCGCCGCCGCCTTGGACGCGCCCGCGGAGTCGGAGTCGGAACGCTACAGCTGCCGCGGCTTGAGCTTCCGGCCGGACGCGTGCTGATTCCACAAGTAAGACCTGCTCTTCCGCTCCCGGGTCCGCGTTCTTCCGCTCCCGGATTCCCGCTCTTCCGCTCCCGGAGTCCCCGCCCACAGTTCAAAGTGGAAAAATGGCGGGGGCGCCTGAGGGTCTGGTCTTCGTCTCTCCACCAGATGAGGAGATGGCGACCGGAGCAGACGACCCGGCCTCGGTCCCCGCTGCTCCCCGAGAGGACTTCCGGGTGCTCTGCACCTCGAAACGGGCGGTGACGGAAGTGCTAGAGCTGTGCGGGCGCTTCGTGCAGCAGCTCGGGGACGCGCTGCCGGAGAAGATTCGGGAGCCCGCGCTGCGGGATGCACAGTGGGTACGGGCCCAGGCTCCGCCTCTTCCCTTATCCCACACCCCGGGTCCCAGGGCCGAGGAATGACCCCGCGCCAGACCTGACCGAGTTAACAGCGCTCCGGGCTGCCACAGACGGAGCCGGGGGAAAGCGCGGAGAGAACGAACATAGACGCCAGTGCCCGCGGGGTATTATCGTTTACTTAGACCAGCGCTGTCCGGTAGAAAGAAACGGCGACCTACGTGTGGAATCTTATTTTTTTTCAATTTTTTAAAATTGTTGTAGTTAAGTGAAGTTTACATTTCAAGTTAGTTTCCCATATAAAAATGTATACGTATATTGTTACATGACTCTAATTGCTCTCCCCATACTGTGACAGCACACTCCTCTTGTCCACTCCTGATTCCCCATGTCCATTCAACCACCTCTCTGCCTTCCCATCTCACCTCCGGACAGAAGCTGCCCATTTAGTCTCTTGTATCTACTCGAGCTAAGAGGCACACTCCTCACGAGTATCACTTTATGCCCCACAGTCCAGTCCAATCCCTGTCTGAAGAGGTGGCCTCCAAAATTGTTTTAGTTCTGGGCTGATAGAGAATCCAGGGGCCATGCTTTCCGGGGTACTTCCACTCTCAGTCAGACTGTTAAATCTGGTCTTCTTACTAGAATTTGAGTTCTGCACCCCACCTTTCTCCTGCT